GTATATGAATAGAAGCATTTATGCGTTTGAGTACCTTTTGGCTGCCTGACTGTCCGATGCAAATTTGACAAGATTTAAAGTTTTTGTGATTTTTGTATTTCGGGCTCCACACACACACCCACACACACAAATGTGAGTGAATGGGCAGATCATGGGCGCAAAAGAAAATATCATTATTGGCACGCGTCTGACGCGCGGCCTTCTTTTTATGAGTTCGGGTTTAAATTGATGAATGAATTTTGGCCCCTTATTGCCTGCAGCAGCCCGTTGCATATATAGGTCAAGTGACTGATCACTTAAATGATTTTATGACCAGCGCAAATTTGTTTAAAAATCAAATCTTTAAAATATTCAAATATACCATATACAAAAAAATAGCGATTATATATTTATAGTATTCATGATTTTATTGAAATCATATTCAAGTTATTCAATGCAAACCCGAAATCATAAAAAAGAATGGCGCGGTCATACGCGTGCCAATAATGATATTTTTTTGCGCCCATGATCTGCCCGTTCACTCACATTTGTGTATGGGTGTGTGTGTGTGTGTGTGTGTGTGTGTGTGTGTAGAGCCCGAAATACAGAAATCACAAAAACTTCTAATTATGTCATGTTTGCATCGGACAGTCAGGCAGCTAACAGGCACACAAACGCATAAATGCTTCTATTCATATACAAAATAAGTGTGTGTGCGTGAATAGCAAGTCCAAAAACTTTTAAATGCACACATGCCAACGTTTAGGTACCCTTACAATTAACGAGCTAAAATGCAAGAATTTCGCATCGACGTGGCAAACCTTTTTATGGGGTCATGTTGCTCGTCCCTTCTAAAGGGAAGAAACGCCTCCGACATTTGAGAAAAAATTGAAATTGTGTGCATTTTTGCTTGTGCGGACATATACACACACATACATCTAACGATCCCAAGACAAAATGAGCGAGCACTGATAGTAAGCCAAACAGTTTCCATTAGTGGGAGCGAGATATTTCTTACTCTCTTGCTGTCTGAACATGTAGCTGGTCTCGAACCCGACAAAAACGAAGGTGACTTAGGACCTGCGGACAAAGGAATCCGTGGTCGCATTTTTTTACTCTTGTTGTCCAGTCTATATGTACATATGTTCTATGGTTAGTGCTTTTATAAATCGAATCGAATAGACTCACCTTGTAGGAGTTGAACAAGTATTTCGGCTTGGGATAGGGTCTTAATATAAACGCACCAATGACCAGTTTGGGCGTGGCATCCTGCAGATAGGCCAACAGGCTCATTACCCGTTGACTGCTGGCATTCTCATACACCAAGACCTGCGCATCCAGGGCTTCAAACGTTATGAATACATCCGAGGGAAACTCGGGATGCTGCTTCTTGATTGAGATGTTTCCCGCCAGAGTTCCGTTCTGAAAATTATTAATTTCTGATCAACCCGAACTAAATCGCATCCTATCTATGAACATAATTAGTTTCTTTTACGATGGTTTTAATTGGCTTGGAAGAGCATCAAAGCTTCGTCTACTCCCATTCACCTGTTCATGAAAGTTTTCCTCTCAATTTTTAATCGTATTAATATAGCCGCTGAAACAAGTTTTAAACAGGATTTTGTGGATATTTGGCCAGCACTTACATTTCGCACTGGCACATTCGCAATCAGGTTGAAATGCGTCCACAACTGTGCACAATACTCGAAGCCAGCGCGTTGTTGCGCCTGTCGGAAGAGCTGCATGGCATCCGTTAGTGTCACGTTGGCTCCCAGCAATATGCGGTTCGGCTCGATGCTGTGCTGCTTGAGCTCCGGCACCATGTTGACATCCACAAAGTGCTGTATACTCCTAGACCGTCTGTATACGCCGTGCGCTGTGTTGCCCGCTACCAGGATATACTCCTCTTCATTAGGCACATGAGCCAGTGCCTCGAACAGCTCCGCCAGCGTCTTTGGCCAATACCAATTGCTGTTGTTCTGAGCTGGCAGCGACGGGCGAGAACAACTGCCGCTGCAGCATTGGCCGGTGCGTGGGCAGAGCAACTCAAAAGAATCCTCAATGTCCACGCACTCCGCTGGAACGTCAATATTGCTGTCCACGGCAAATGATTTCATGGCATCGAGGATGGGCCGGTAGCCTGTGCAGCGGCATATGTTGCCACCAAATGCATCCTCTACCTCAGCCATGGTCACGTGCCCGCCTTGACTCTCCAGCAGCCCGTACATGTTCATCACAAATCCCGGCGTGCAGTATCCGCACTGGGTGCCATTCAGCTTGGCCAAACGCTTCTGTATGGGGTGATAGCCGCTGCTCTTATTGCCCAGCCCCTCGTCTGTAATAATGTCCACATCGTTGCAACTGTTGAGCAGGGTCAAACACTTAAAAAGAAAACATAAGCTATTCATAGCTCATCGAGACCAGTCCACCATTCTTCTGAATATTTTCCTTCTGACACTTACTGAGTTGGCCGCACGGGAACTTATTTCACCTGTGATGGGATGCCGGCGTCGTATGACACAAATGCAGGAGCCACAGCCACCCTCCAGGCACATGTACTTGGTGGCCGTCAGATGGAGATGATCCCTCAGGAACGCGTTTAGGGTGATGTCCGCCGCGTAGTCCGCTGGCTGCACCTCGTACGGAAAGCCATTCACATTGAACTTGATGCTCATATTGGCAAAGTTGGAAGCCAAATACCGAGACCATGGCTAGGCGCTGGCATTTAAAGCCCCTGCTGGAACCTGATAAGCAGTAATTATGCGTCAGTGAAACGGGTTCCAATAGCTAGACGCAAGCACTGCGCAAAACTTTCCGTAATAAATAAAATCGCTTCTTTTTTTTTTTATTTACTTTAATTTTATCCCATGCTCGGGTTGCAATAATTGATACCATTTATACATTTTGGATGCTAAATGCTTAGTGCACAATTTTGTTTTAATTTAATCCCTTCCTTAGGATGTATATCATCCTACTTTAGAGGTTGCAATGTTCAATTGCAATCCTCTCATTTTTCATTCATCTGCTACCTATAAGCCCCGCCGTTGCATTCGCAAAGGAAACTATTCCTTGCTTAATCAACGTATGTATTCATATGTACAACCGATTGGTCTTTTTTATATGACTCGGTTGATATGCATATTGCTATTAATTTTGTTATAATACCCTAAACTCCATCTTAGATGATTGTATTCCTAATTTATGTCCCTCAATTGCTTCTTCAAAGCCACCCTGGTTCACTCCCAGACTATTAAACCTACAAAATATTAAGTCTAAATATTTTAAAAAGTTTAATAGATCTGGTTCGAGTATTGACTTGGCTAAATGTTTCATATCCAAGTCGAACTTCTTTCTTCTTAATTCTCTGTGCTATGAAAATTATCTTTCTCGTTGCAAAAGGCAATTTGCCCAAAATCCGAGACAGTTTATAATATTGTAAACTTGAAGTGTAATTCTTCAAGTTTGCCATCTTCTTTTTCTCTTGGGACAGATAAAGCTAGCAATGATCCCGATTCCGCCAACCTCTTTGCTAACTTTTTCCAATCAACCTACTCTTCAGTCTGTACTAATAATAATTCTTACCCTTATACTACTACTTCCTCTAGACTATACATGCTCCTATAATTTCCCATTCCTCTCTCCTTCCATAAATTCTTTAAAATCATCTTACTCTCCTGGGCCTGACAATATTCCTAGTTTTCTACTCAAGGAGTGTAGCTCTTCCCTTCTTCGTCCATTGCTAAAGCTTTTTAATCTATCCCTTGAATCTTCGGTCTTTCCATCTCTTTGGAAAGAATCTTATATCATTCCTCTCCACAAGAAAGGTGGAAAGTCTGATATACAAAATTACAGGGGCATTGCAAAACTGTCTGCTATCCCTAAATTATTTGAAAAAAAAAACACTTCAAATTTGCAGCATTTCTGCAAATCAGCTGTCTCCCCATTTTCATAATGAATGTATAATGTATAATAGTATAATAATAATTAGGAAGACACTCGTTTTGTCGACCATTAATAAAATAAAATAAATAGAGTTAGGCACTGAAATTTGTCTACCTTTCAATCCAATCAAAAATAATTCGATTATATCTGAATATATATGTATATATGTAATATATACCATGAACTCTTGCATTACGGACTCGGTTCATTTTGTTTGGATTAAAATGTGGATAATGTTTGGAAAAAGGTGGTTATTTCGGCTAACATAGCCGTCTCTACATCATCTCTGATCTTATCTACATGCATTTATTTCACCCGCAAATGTGAAAATTTGGCGAAAAAAAATCAGAACTTATTTGACACGCCTTCACAAAGTTCACCGATATTGGATCGAAAATGCTGGTCTGTAAACGCAAGTTTTTTTTTGGGATTAAGATTCTTAGCACAAGACTGAGAAGTACGGACGCCTCTGATTCCAACATTTGGTTCTTTATTCGATGCAATTTAAACCTATTTTTAAATAGAAGTGGAGATCAAGATGATACGGGTAGATTTCAATTTTCCACGGGCGTATACTTAGTGAAAAGGTTATATCTACAATTTTTCGCACAAACTCGACTAAACTCCGTAAAAAACAAAAATGATGGATTTCACAATGTTGCAGCAACCAATTCCGATGTTGAGCCCACGAAGACTTTAACGCTACTGTAACTATCCAGTTTAGTAGCTGTTCTCTTTATTCTTAACTCAGCGGTCTTCAATTCGTGTTTTCCATATCGCTTCTAAGCGATTTGCGATAAGAGTAAACAAAAACCTAAAATATAGCAGATCAAAAGCTTTAAGCTTAAATTGGGAGAATATCAAAAATCTCTTTGATTTGTTTAAGAGAATCGGTTGAGGGAACTGTGTTAATTAGAATTTAAAGGTACGACTTACACTGATTCAAAGCGCAAAAAGAAATTAATGCCATATCTTATAATTAAACATTGTTAAACTCCATACACAGTTGGACTAGAGAGCAGAGTAAAGAGATTTTATTGCTACTTTGAACACCAAACCATGAAAACAAATAATTATACATATATAAATATAACAATAGCAATAGATATATATATATTTTTAAACTATTGTAGTGCAAATTGTTGAATTTCGTTACCTGCTGATAATACTACGGTTTCTGGTGTGGTAGGTGCGCCTAGTCGCACCCATTCCCGCGGCAACCCGGCATCCTGCCTGGCCGATTGTATAGCATGCTGCATGGCAAAGAGCACGCCCACAGCCAGACAGAGAGCCGGTTCGCCCGTGGCCTTTGAGCGTAGGAAACCAACGGGGTTGGGACTTTTTTGCAGTAGCTCAATGCGGAAATCAATGGGTATATCCTTGGCGCCTGGTGGATGATAGTTCCAGGTGCGATTCGTGAGAAGGCGACCTGTTTGGCGGTCGTAGACCAACTGCTCGGTTAGGTAATAACCCAGACCCATGACGAAAGCTCCTTCAACCTGACCGACGTCAATGCTGGGACTGAGACTCTCGCCCGCATCCTCTAGGATGTCAACGCGGCGTATCAAGTGGTTGCCAGTCAGTATGTCCAACTCCAGCTCGCTGAGACTCAAACCATAGATGCTGTAGCTATTTTGCTCACCCATTTTGTAGGACTCGGTTGCAATCAAACTGATCGATTGGATGAAGGCCGACTCCACCACCTGCTGCCAGCTAGCCTGGGCGCCCAACCTGCGCTTGACCGGCTCCAGACGCTGGTTTAGCGTGTCGCAGGCTTTGCGCACGGCAATGCCAACCAGTTCACTGACCATTGAGTTGGCTGTCACAAAAGAATTGGCTCCCGTGATTGTATTGCTGCTCTCCACACGCACACGCTCTAGCGGCACACCTAGCACAAAGGCAGCAACTTGGGCTACCTTTGTGTTTATGCCCTGACCGATCTCAATGCCACCGTGCGAGATGACCACAGAGCCATCCGCATGGTAAATAGCTACCGTCGTGGGGTAGCACAAGGCGAAGCTCACATTTAAAGGAAACTCCATTAGGGCCAATCCCAAACCTCGTTTGCGCCATCGATTTTGAGCGTTAAATAAGTTGATTTGCTCCCGTCGTTTGCGGTACTCAGTGGAGGCCAGAAATCGAGGCAGCAGCTGGACCATTTTGCTGCCCGGTCGGAGATTTACCAGGCGCACATCCGCTGGATCCAACTTACAGGCAAAGGCAATGTGCTCCAGTGCCGTCTCTGTCATTGCAATGGCTGTAAGAGTAAAGGAGAATTATCATTGAGTTTTAGATTCTTATTCAACTTTGACTTACCCTCTGCTGTTCCTGGAGCCCGGCACCATGTAGAGCTGGGCGCATCCGTTTTTACAGCAGTACCCTTTACCTTAAAGTTCAAGTTGGTCAGATTGTAGACACTTTTGATTGCTGGTAAGGTGAGAAAGTCGACGACATTCTCATTAAGGGTGCAGCCCGCATCCTCGTAGTAGTTGTTGCTGAGCATGCGTATGGAGCCGTTAGCACGCGCCTGGAATTCATAGTCGGAGCGACAAGCCCAGCGCTTTCCGTTTGTCTCCATCATGGATTCGATGGTTTGCACGAAACGCGCTGGCCGATTCAGTTTGTGTGCAACAAGTGCACAGGCACATGCCACTTGGTTACCACGTGTAACCTTGGCGCCATAGGCTCCGCCGATGCGTCGCACCTGTAACTGGACTGCATTTGCCTCCAACTTAAGCATTCGCGATATGCTGGCCTGGGTCACGTCCATCCATTGAGTGGCGCTCCAAACCTGAAGCCCCTGTTCCACAGGCACCACCACCGTCGTTTGTGGCTCCATGGTGAAGTGGTATTGCGACTCAAGCTCAAGAATTCCACGTCCCAGCACATCACCAGGCTCGAGCGGTGGCTTGGAAAACTCTTCAGGTGGCCCAGAGCTTGTCACAAGACGATTTTCCACTTTGTCTGCCAGCACGGAATTCATGCTGGTATAGATCTTCACCTGGTTATTGGCATAAGTCACCCGCACCAATGTCGCCGCATATACGGCCACATCGTGGGTAAGAGCAGCGATTACCCCCAGCGGCTGATCATAGTACTGGACACGTCCGGAACAAAATATCTCCTCCCCTTCGACCGTTAACAGTGTGGTATTGTTGAAGTTATTGTCCCCTGGAATGTCCCTGACTCCATAGAAGGCAACCACGCCCTTGCACTGGAACGCAGCTGTTGCATCGATCAGTTCGATTGTGGCTCCCACGCGCTTGGCCGTCACAAAGGCGCAGTACACAGCATTGGAAGTGGTCAGTAAGTATAAAACCGTCCTGAGAAGCATTTCGTATGTCATATATATTATATTCTTGCTTAGGGGTAAAGGAATTAATCTTTACCTTATTTGATGCGTAAGCAATTTTAATAATAAGATGTAAAATGACAACACAAACAAACTTACTTTTTGTATCGATACGCTTAATATTAAACTAGATAGAATCACGCAACTAAAATAAATAGGCAAATAAAAATAAAAATACAAATACAAGTAAAATTATTTAGTTCATTTAAAGACGGAATTCTTTCGCCGATATAAGAAAAAGTCGATAATTAGTCGATAGTCTAAGCAGGTGCACAAGAACCAAAAGTACTCATTTTTCGAAACTAGTTCATTTCTTTTTGTTCACTTGTTCATTCAGTCCGATTTCCATACAACTAAGTATAACACATCTCCAACTTTTTCTCGCGGCGTCGGCATTTGCCAAGTTTATTGATTATTACATTTCTGTGGCTTTAAATTTGATTTAATTGCATAACAATTCAACAACTTTAATACAATCTTTGTGTAAAATAACTTTTAAGGTAAGTACGCCATATGCATTGAAAATGTTGCGAACGGCGTACAAGACGCGACGACGCCGCAAGTCGCCATCTTTTTTTCGCGATGACGCTGAAGATTGCCCTTTCGGAGTAACATTTCAGTAAAGACTTCAGAATTTTGCAGGAGACGGAGACATGAACATGGATGCGAATGCTGTCGAAAATCGTGAAAAGGAGCGCGACCGCCGAGGACGTGGTGCACGCGGTTCACGTTTCTCTGATGCCGACGGTAACAATGGCAACGCCGCTGGTGGTGGGGGAGGAGGCGGCGGCTCAAATATCGCACGCGACAGAAGCCGTGAAAGACGCAATTGCCGCGTATATATATCGAACATTCCGTACGATTACCGCTGGCAAGACCTGAAAGATCTGTTTCGTCGGATTGTCGGCTCGATTGAGTATGTCCAACTATTCCATGACGAGAGCGGCAAGGCACGTGGCTGCGGCATTGTCGAGTTCAAAGATCCAGAGAACGTGCAAAAGGCAATGGAGAAAATGAATCGCTATGAGCTGAATGGGCGTGAGCTGGTTGTCAAGGAAGACCATGGCGAGCAGCGTGATCAATACGGGCGAATTGTACGCGATGGTGCTGGCGGTGGAGGTGGTGGTGCGGGCGGCGGTGGCAATGGTGGCGGCCGCGACCATATGGACGATCGAGATCGAGGTTTTTCGCGACGTGACGATGACAGAATGTGAGTATCATTATTATATTCCACATATCTATTTATTTTCCGATCTAAGCAAATCGCTAAGGAAGAAACGTTGTGTTCCAAGCACATAATTTCTAGTGTTATCAGAAAAAGAAAATTATTGAAATTTTTGAGTAAGGGTATTCAGTGTTTTAACGAAGATTCATATTAACATCATCATTTGTAATGGTAATGGCAACGATTGCTTTTCAACTTCCAATACTCTTGTAAATTGAAGAAGTTCTGAAACGGGGTTTAATGTTCTCTTTACTGAACTATGACACTTTGCTGATCACTTTACTTCGAAAAGAAAAGGGAAAACCTGTGCTTTGTTCGTTAAATTGTTCAGCGGTCGGCAGCTTTTGTTCCTCAGCAAATCGAAAAACGAGAATTCAAGTGGTTTAAAAATATGGCAACGTTTTTAGACAAGGCTTTTGTGTCATAGATCTTTATTCTGATAATAAGGCTTGTTACGGTTTGTAATTCCACCAAAAATCGAATCGGAAAAATCAAAAATCTGTTGATAAAATATAGGATATATTCGTTCCATTTCTGTATATCGGGGCTTGCCTTATATGTAAATTTGTTAGTAAAAAGTTTTAGTGATTTTGTTTGCAGCATTCATTTATGTCGTTGAAGTTGATGACACGATTAATAAATTTACTATTAATCCTGTGTTAAATTGGGCAGAATAATAACTCTTTCAAGCATTGGCTCTAGAATATAAGAAAAAAAAATAAAAATAAATTTTTGAAAATTCAGTTTCTGCGAATTATGATATCGAAATAAATAAATGCAGAATGACTGTTAGATTGTATTTTTGCCTATAATTAAAATAACATAACGTAAAGGCGGTAATCTTAGACACGGCGTTCTGGATTTAATCCGATTGTAGCTGAGATGCGTGCGCTCTTGGGATACTTGTATTTGTTGTGCTTTACCTCTTGCTCTTGCTCTTGTTATTTTTTCTCTCTGGATCTTTTGGCTTCTTTTTCTAGATCTGGGCGTAATAATTTTAACATGATGTCGAATGATTTTAATTCGTCGAATTACAATTTGTATGGGCTTTCTGCTTCGTTTTTGGAGAGTCTTGGCATAAGTGGACCTTTGCATAATAAGGTTTTTGTTGCTAATGTGAGTATAAGTATTATAAAAATTCCAATAACTATGTAAACTACTGTATTGAACCAAAAATCAAACCAATACCAATACCGATACCAAACCAACCAAACCATTACAATACATATACATATATTCTATATGATAGATATATGTTTTGTAGCTTGTGCATTCTTCGCCCAGTTGTTTTTAAGTCGTAAGTTGCGTTTATTCTATCTAAGTATGTACACATATTTTGTTTTCATCGTGGGCTCTGTTTCGTATTTATAACCCAACTATAGAAATAACATATGATTTGTAGCTAAGATGCGAATACAATTTTACTCTACGCCCTACTGTATAATTTAATTTTCTCCCTTTGTATTTGACAATTTTCAAACAATATAATTAGGATTTCCCACTTTGATTATTGATCTTCACAAAGCTGATGTTATAGATCGATATTTAAACCATTTGGATTGTAGTCTACTTTTTTATAATCCGTTGACTCTCTTATATCGGTCTCGAAGAGAATGAATTGACGGCAACTGTCCGAAATTTTTAGATTAAACGGAAATAGGGATTTTTGGAAATCGATCCTGTATGTATTGATAGATATTGAAGATAATGGTGATACCAGCTATGTATCTAGATTTTGGCAAATACCCAAGTTTGTTCATCCTACTAAGGGTGCTACTCCAGTTTTATTTTCAATCGGCGTTTACTAGAGAAAGGAGTATACGCTCCGAAATAATTGAAAACCGACGGGAAGTTCTTGAGGTTTTTTTTTTTAATATTTAAATGAAGTGAAAATAAAAATGGTACCGGGAGTACAATTTTATTCAACTTTGGACTATCCACTGAATGAATTTCTTTATTATTGTTGCATTGTGTTGTAATGTAATGTAACTAGATTAATCTGGTTGTATTCTGATTTTGTTTGTCGGTAAAGAATCAAGACTCTTCCAAAGGAATGAGGAAACCTGCAGCTGGGTTATAAATATGAAACAGTCGTTTAACTGAGAGCCTGCTGCGTCGCTTTTGGATCAACTATCTGGGCTAACGGATTGATACCTCAGATTCTGCAGACTTCGTTTGCTCCTAGTTAAGGTGGCGGCTGGAGTCTACAACAGTTTGGACAATGCTTTTATCCATTCTTCACTGGTGCCCAAGGCGATGACCATTATTTTAATATCTAAAACTTTATATTGTTCTTGTTTCAACAGCTGGACTACAAGGTGGACAGCAAGAAGCTTAAGCAGGTCTTTAAGCTTGCCGGCAAGGTGCAAAGCGTGGATCTATCCTTGGATAAGGAAGGCCACAGTCGTGGCTTTGCTGTAGTCGAATATGATCATCCAGTGGAGGCCGTACAGGCAATCTCTATGTTAGATCGCCAGATGCTCTATGATCGTCGTATGACAGTTCGCTTGGATCGTATACCCGACAAGGGAGAGGGTCTTAAGCTACCCGAAGGATTGGGTGGTGTTGGCATTGGCCTGGGCCCCAACGGTGAGCCTCTAAAGGATGTGGCTCACAATCTGCCTAACGGTGGTAATCAGAACGCTTCCCAGCTGCTCGGCAATGTGCAGAGCGCCCAGCAGCTATCCGCAGTGACTGGCGGTCAGGTTGTTGGCGGCGGTAATTCCAATGCTAGCAATTTGCTGGGAAGCCTTAGTGGCGTCATGTTTGGCAATAACGCTGCTGTGCAGCCATCTCCTGTGGCGCCGGTTCAAAAGCCCAGCATGGGCAACAATTCTGGAGGCGGCGGTGGCGGTATCAATCTAAATAACTTGAATCCCAGCAATTTGGCTGCTGTGGTCGGCAATTTGGGCAACCTGGGCGCGGCTCTGTCCAATCCGCTGCTCACCTCATCACTGAACACCCTTGGTCTTAATCTCGGCAATGCGGGCGGAAACGATGACGGACTAGTCTCTGCCAGCAATGTTGGTCTGTCCAATAACTACAGCAGCGGCGGCGGCGGCTATGGTGGTGCTGGCAACAACTACAACAGTGGAGGTGGTACGAGCGGCAGCGGCGGTGGTGGCGTCTCTGGTGGCAATGTTGGCTACAATTCATACAACAGCAGCGCTGGCGGCGTCTCAAATGCCGGCAACAATCAGCTGGATGGCAATGACTATGGCAATTCTGGCAGTCAGTTGGACATGTTTGGTGGCGGTGGTGGCAACGTTGGCGGTGGCGGTGGCAATGTTGGCGTTGGTGTCGGAGCTGGTAATGCCGGCGGTGGTGCACGCAAATCAGATACTATTATCATCAAGAATGTGCCACTCAGCTGCACATGGCAGACACTTCGCGATAAATTCCGTGACGTCGGCGATGTCAAGTTTGCCGAAATACGCGGCAACGATGTGGGTGTGGTGCGTTTCTTTAAGGAGCGTGACGCGGAGCTAGCCATAGGTAGGAGAACAATTAACCTGGTCTTGCTTACAACTCTAACAATAAATTCTAATCCACAGCTCTCATGGATGGCTCACGTCTGGATGGTCGTACCATCAAAGTAACTTACTTTTAAGTCGTATCCCTTAGATTTTTAAAACGCAAAGTCCGTATGTCCACGCAATGAACCGAATGAACTTCTAGACACGACCAACGGCTTACCTTAACCCACAGCAGGCAGCAGAGCAGCGGCTAGGCTGTCCGAACCATTTTAGTTTGTAGTAACCCACAAACAAATAATTGTTTAATTTTTATACATATATTTACATTACTAATAACAAAAAGTATCATAAAATAATTGACTTTCCAAAATACAGAAGACGCAATTCATGTAAGTTATAAGTGATTGAAGCCAATAAATATATAAACAATATTTAAAATAATATTGATATAGTATTAGTAGTCTTTTTTATTTATATACTTGGTTTCTAATTCTATTATTATAAACTTTTCCTTTTAATAATGATTGTATATACGGTGTTAAAAAATTGAGCAGCGGATCCAAAGAGATCCGACCTTATAACGGATAGATAGATATAGCCTGCTTATTTGTTAAAGTGTCCGTTCGATTAACTATATCAAGTTATATTTTTCAAATAAAAAATGTTATATTCCAAGATAGCGTAAAATTTAACTCTATGCTAACATTTTGATAAAAAAAATAGCCTTCGTCAGCTTGGACAACGACCAAAGCCCAACCTGGCGCAGAGTTACCAAATATCCATGCATGCATGTCTATCAAGCCTGCGACTTGTAGGCAGAGGCTCGTGGACCACAAATTGTAAGGCATTTATAATATATGTTAATCGTACATGTGCAAGGGTTTTTTAATTTCGGCAGTTGTTTAATAGTAATATGGGAAAACTTTTCGGTTGGGTAGAAACCATTAAAAATAAGTATATCTTTATTTTTTCGCAATACAAATACAAAGAAATATTAATCGAAACAAGAGCTAGTTAAATACTCAAACTAAGTCCATACAAATGGAATTAATAATATTCTTTGAAGTTATTTACCCTTGCTTAACGGCTCCACGCATTGTTGGTGGTTAATCGTGGCTTAAAAAGAAGAGCCCAAGCGTGGATACTGAGCTGGGTTTTATAGAGAAGATTGTCGTCTATTTTGTTGCATCAGCTACGGCCGCTGGTGCTGTTTTAAAACGCTCCAGACGTGCTCGCGCCTTTTCTGCCCATTCACCCTGGCCCTTTGGATCGCTTGCTGCAGTCGCTGTGCCAACCGTAGCACCAAAGCGTTCCTTGCGCTTCTGCAGCCGGTCGTCGGCAACGGTTTTCGGACTCTTTTCTGGCACCACACAACCAAAGCGTTCGGCACGTCTCTTTAAAGCCTCCTTTTGCTGTTCGTCCGTCTCCTTGTTGCCTTTGTTGGCCTTGATTGAAGCTGAAGATGACTTGTTAACCGTGGGCACAACAGCTGTGGGTGGATCAACAGCTTTGGTATCGGGTGCAATGCCAAACTTCTTGGCGCGCATTTCCAAGCGCTCCTGTATGCTTAGCTCACTTAGCTTCTTGTCGGCTAAAGTTGCCGCGTCTTTGCTTTTAGTTGCAGCACCACCCACCACAATTGGTTTGTGGTGCGTTTTTGTGGGTTTATCCTCTAACTCCGAAGCTCCAGGTATGCTGTCTGTTGTCTCGGGTGCGGCATTTTCCTTCGATGTCATTATTGTTGTTGTCGTCACCGCCGTCGCCAGCTGCTGCGAATTGTTGCGTTTCAGCACGATTTTCTTAGCTGGCAGCGATGCGTTGGTTGCCTCCGATTGCGAATCTGATCCTGCTGCCATATGTAAAGATAGTTCTGGTATTGTTGTCGCCGTGGGTGTGCTAACTGGGCTCTTCAGCAGCAAATCCTCGTGATCATCACCCAATAATTTGTGCTCGTCCTCGTCCGTCAAAGAGACATCGTCGTCGATAGCGTCGGCAATAGCACTGTCTTCCAGTGAAATGTCGCCTTCGAGTAAAGCGGTTTGCAAGCGGTCCTGTAATTCATTTTTATTGCCGTTCAATGGCAACCCACGCAGCTTCAACTCGCGCTTTAAATCCGCAACCTGGATTGGATATAGCGTGGGTTGTTTGTGTCTTGTTCGGGTTATATTATTTACACTCACCTTCATCTTGGTAACATCGCTTTCAGGCATTTTATTCGTTTTTTAATATAAATTTGCGGCACTAACAAGTTTTTTTTTCTTGCATCAAATTGGTTATGCCTAGCAGTATGGCAACTCTCTACTAAAACTGTCCATACAGGCAAAAAGAAGAATAAGTGTTGTAAAGAAACATCGAAATTAACATTTTCTGTAATTAACAGCAAGCGTAAAATAAATTCTGTTAAACTAAAAGTAAGTGGTGAAAAGTTGTATGCTCGCTACTGAGTGTTGGTAAACGCAATGTAAGCGCTAAGATTTAAATACTCAACTCTGTGATATATTTTTACCGAGGGTTACTAAAACACTCTGATATATTTTCGGATATGCTCTTTTTTTGAAATGTGTTTAAAAAGTTCAATTGAAATTAACCACCACGTCTGTAACATGAACATATAATATTTGTTTTTGTCACATCATCGCTGTCACGCTTTTGCAGCTACTACTCACCCTTATAATGGCTATAGCTAGCGCGTACACAAGATAAGATATAAAATATGAGTGCCGTACAGAAATAGCAAACAACCGGCATACAGCACCACCCGTGCAATCCACACACACACAACGAACCCCGACCGGAAACGGGAAATGCATGCAATATTATCTTGTCGCCTGCTTCTTAGTCGTTCGCTGCGCGAGAGCAAATCTCATGCGTTGAAAATATAGATTGTGTCTGTTGGAAAATGAAAGTGCAGCTAACAAAAAAAGGGGTGTGTGTGTTTGTCTGGAGGATAGATGCCAGTGTTTTGACCTTGAACTGCACTCGACCAAATTGTATTGTTTTTAACTGATACCGACCGGCAACTGCACCTGCACTCTCTTAAACACACTCACACACACCCTCACTCACTCACTTGGCGCTTAACGCTAAACGAACACATGTTGCTCATGTGGCGCATAAGTAGCTGCATCTAATTGGAATTGCAGCATACTTGCGTTTATTTTTAATTTTTTCCGGTCTTCTCTTTGTGGAGGCCACGGCCCACGCATTAACCTTTTGCCAGTCAGCATTTAAAAAGAGTTTGCCGCCCTTTAAGGCTTGTCCAGTGCAATGATAATTATAATTAATGCCAAATATGATGGCAAACGTGAATTGTGAGTTGCGGCTGTTCCATTTACTAATTCTTTGGCCGTATATGGGGGAGCTTTAATTACAGTTACAACGACTTAACGGGCACGCATACGACCCAAAGTCCGCAGTCAAGTTGTTGATTAATTGGTCATGACAGTCGCGTTCACGTTCTGCTTATAGGATTACGCAATTACGGATTTAAGGCGTTTCATAACGTTAATGTTATTCTTAATGTTAATTGTATGTTAAGCGTTTAATTACATATGAGTTTAACATAATTATTTTTGTTGTATTTTTGTAACTTTCGTTAGTTAAATTAAAATATTCCTAAATTTTGTTTGTGTCTCAGTTTTAAAGATATGCAAAGCTAAAAACAGCTTCACAAATAAAACTAGCTTTTTATGATAAACAAGGTCCTCGTCTATATATCATTCCCAATGAATGGTAAAAATTAAGTATTAATTTTTATATTTTAAAAGATTTGTTAACTTTGGAATCGTGGAATATAATATAATTATTATAATCATTTCAAATCTTAATTTTGTTCTGCTTGCGGTTTATATTATTAGTGCAAAGCTCAATTATATATTGACCAATAGAATGGGAAAAATAAGCTGTGACTAATTATTCGGTTTTTAAAATATATACTTAATGCCAGTGAGTAACAATATTAATTTGTGCTTTTACATAAACAAAAGAGCTGGCAAGTGGATTTCAATTGGACTTATCAGCTGCATCAGCGTTTCTCAAAGAACAAACAATCGGCGAATCCGAGCTTCTTTTCTACTAAGAATAGATTCTCTAAGAAAGAAGAAATAAGAATAGATACTCTATAACAAAATTATACCTAACCAAATATATGTTATGATTTTATTATTATTTATTATTTTATTATTTTTTTCGGTTTCAGATTTACCTATTTATTATCATTTCATAATTTTAAATGCCAAAGATATGAATTTCCTAATTGATTTATTATGCAGTTTTATTCGATACTTAAGCCAAGTCGTTTTGCTCTTAAAAAGCTTTCTAGGTGCTTTTCCTTAAATAACTGAGCGCTATTGTTGAAATGATTTGCTTTGAGTGCAGCAGCAGCGCTCCGGCGCTCTCTGCGCCTTCTGGCCACTCAACGTTATCCGTCAGATACTGGTTCTCAGTTGCGTGACGACTGCCGGAGCGATCGGTTGTGCCAGCTCTCCATAGTTAGCTGCTGTTTTTGTGTTGCGTCTCGTGCTGCGCGCTGTGCTTCCAAATACGTTCACTGATCAACAGACGTCATCGCCAGAGACGGACGTGTCGCTCGATTGATTTGTTGCAAAGAGCAAACAAAAAACAAATATATACAGATATATTAACAAAAACAAAGTGAGTGCGAGTGCGAATACGAATACGTGTACGTGTATCTACAAGTACGTGCTGTGTGCGCTGCAGTTGTAGTTGCAATTGTACGCAACTTTAAGTTGGCCATAACGCCACAGCCAATACTCAATATAATATTATAAGTATTAGCAGCTTTGCTGACCTTGTGCAATAGCGTATCTGAAACTGTGCACGCGTGTGTGTGTGTGTGTGTGTGTGTGTGTGTGTTTGTGTGAGTGTGTGTATCTTTTGTGTAAACATCATTAACATAATCAGTAGAAAGCATCTTGGCAACTGTTTTGGCTTAAAGCAGCATCAAGCAACCTGTTCACTGCATTCTGAGTTAACGCGGCGTTGTTGTTGCTGTGTTCTTTTTCGATTTTTGGTATCGTTTTCGTGATCACCTCTTTATCACCTGAGTCACTTTTGTATGGCGCTCACGTCACACGCTCACACATACGCCCGCCCAACGGCTCTGGAATGCCAACCAGCTTTTTGCTTTTTGATTATAGCTGCTCTCTCACTCTCCCACACACTCTCCGCCTTTGTCTAGCCCGCTCTCGCTGTTTATCCGCCAGTCTGGCTCTCTGGCTGCGCGCACTGTTTTAGGCCCGTTACCATTTTAAGTTAACAACAATTATATGGCTGCATAGCCATTAAAGGCCAACTCGCCTCTTCTGGCCTGGCCAGAGGGGGCGTGTTATTGTGTATGTGCTACCACAGGAAATCTTCAAGTACGTGACAACTGAACACCCCATCACACCCAATATTGGCAGTGATCCCCATCAAATCAACAGCAAATCAATTTAATACGACCTAGGCCATAAAATATGACCTCAATTAATTAAACTAATTGACAGCGCGTGCGGCGTGAATACCGTAGCCAAATCGCATACAAATTTTCCTATATCATATATATATATATATATTTGTTAGTCGGGCAGCTAACCAGCTTTATAGTTGCACTTATCGCACTTTCAAGTTGATTTCTTTTATATAGCTGATACGAATAATCGCACACACCTACACATATGTATGTATATACATATATCTTATCTAATCTGTTTATTAAATACGAAAACACATGCGTGAAATCATAAAACAAAATACATATGCACATGTACACATATAAACAGCAAAAATGAATAGCAAAACTTCTATTTGGTTGCCATACGCCAAATATATGTAAGAACAATTGTACTCGCTCTTTATATTTAGTAGTATAGGAAATCTAACAAAGATTTGGTGTCATGCACGTTGTTCAATGTGGGGAAATATGATCTTCAAAAAATTGAGTTTTTCAAATAAAATCCCGTTTGATCATTTAGTTTTTCTTTTCAGTACTTTAGTTATTGTAATTCAATACATAGGCTAGGCGGCTTCCAATCCTAAGATATCTATATGAGCTGTGATAAAAACCTAAACATAAATGTTTTGACATTTTTTTAAACTGATTATAATCAAGTATCGGGCTATGGTTGATATTTTGCTATGAACCGAACTTCGAGCCAAACCAGTTGCTCCAAAGACAGTTTAAACTATCGAAAACCGAAGCACTGGTTAGAACCGTGAATCGAACCGGCGACCTTTTATTGGTTTTTGCAGCTATTAAACCCGCCTTAGAGTGTTTTTTGTTCGATATACATATATATTTATAACTAAAAACCAGGCAAAACAGCTGCAGCTCATAATTTAGCTTTGACTATAATTAGTATATAAATCAGAGCGCGCTCCATTGCACACCCATAGGCTAGCACATATTTAAAAAGCTGTATGGAGAAATTCTTATTGTAGTGACAGCATCCAAAGCTGCGTATGAGCAATTGTAGATTATGATGCACGATGCGATTACAAAGCGCTGATAAGGGCACAAAGGAGTGGGCTGTAGAAGCTGAACTGTGTCTCACTTATAAAGCATGCACTATACATATATGAATTATATATATACATATATGTGTGTTCAATAAAGTCGCTTAAGCTACTGCTGCCCTGCTAAGAACGATCCATAAATTCGTATAAAGCAATTTTCGAGTGCTTTAGTTGGAGGAAAAGAGTTGGCGAGCGTGAGTGAGTGTGTGAGAGAGAGAGAAAGAGAGAGTGCAACAAAGGCATTGGGAAAGAGTGTGAATGTGGCAACTGTTCCAAGAATATAACGACAACAACAGTAGCAACAGCAACAGCAACAACAACAACAATAACAATAATGGCGTAACTTGATATGTAAAGTTTACAAGAGGCCATCGCAGCCGCAGCCGCAGCCCCAGCCCCAGCCCCAACTCCAGTCCCTGCCCCGCGCCGATAACAGAAATGTCGTTTTCAGTACAGTATATTTAACATTTTATGAAAGCGTAATTATGTTTAAATAATTTATTATGTGTATTAATTACACTGCGAGCACTTCAATTTCGATGTCTACTTTTGATAGTCCGTTTCCGTTAATCATATCACACATGCATAATACTCTATAGTTGATCTAGACTGAAGAGCTGGTACTCATGATGAAATATTACAAATTGTTAATCTTTTATGCAAATCTTGATAATATTGCTGAGTTAAAAAACGACATTACATTGCATTGCCAAAGAGGCAACAAAGTACCTGATCAACCGCACCGAAATAGCAACAATTTTCTCTCTCTTTCCCTTTTTTTATTTTTTTGCAAATTCTAAACAAATTTCAACGCGCGGCAGTGGAGCAGTCAGCCATTAAGTAGCATTAACAACTACAACAACAAAAACAATAACTAAAACCCGAACCCGAACAAAAATAAATAAACAACACTTGCGTTTGTTTTGCTTTTAATTGCGTTTTTTTTTCTTGTTTCTTGTTCGACGCTTCTTTTAAATTATTATAAACAAACCAAATGTGGGCGCTGTTTTAGTGACTACCGTGCAAATAATTTACATTGTGTATTGTATACCTGCACCTGTGTATTGTGCACCTGAACATATGTATATATGTATTATACAACGTCTGTTACTATTTATACACACCATGTAGGCAGCTGATTAAGCAGTTTGGCCAAAAGTTCTGAATGATCAGATGGTGGACAACACACTTGAGTGGAAATTCCAAAAGCTGTAATCGAACAGTTTTTGAATGAGCAATTAAATGGGTTAACAAGTGGCAACAACTGCAATTTCTCTGAGATGCAGTTTAATGAATCATATACATATGTATGTATATATGTAAATATATAATTATTGGCACAAATCCAGCATTTAAGCATTGTGAAGAACTCAAATTGTGGCCAATCTGAATAACATAGAAATAGTCAGCAATTTAGTACTTTATAAGCATTAGAGTTAATATACATTAGTAAAATGTGCGTGGATTGACTAGCATATATACAAGCAGGCTTATTATTATTTGAAACTCAGTTCGTTAGCAAAACTGCATTTAATTAATCTACTTTTAAAACATACAATTCCGAATGGCAAGCACTTCTTTGCTGTACCACAAAAAAAACACATGTATGATAAAACAAAAAAAAAAATAATAAAAATAAAAAAACGGAACTACAAAGTGAGCACTTAACCCCAGTTGGGATGCCTATACAGCAATTAGCTTTAATTGTGTGGGGAGGCATGGCCATGGCAGCGAACTCAGGGATCAGCTGTTGGCGCCAAGAAGCCATGTCAAAAGTGCGGCTGCAGTTAAAGTTCAGGGCCTTTAGAACGCGTGCATGCAACTGCATATGAAAAAGTACAAATGTATGTACATATGTGTTTTGTGGCATGCCACAAGCCGAAAGTACAACTGAAACGCTTGTTGCGAACGGTAAACGATGATCAACGTTTATTAATTCATATGTCAATATAACCGGTTTTCTGTTTGTAACTGCAGCCCGTTGCCATAGCTTGTGATATGGGTATTATTATTATTATTATTATTGTGTATAATGTGGGTTGACCTGTTGGCAGGCTTTGGATGAGTCACTAGAATCAGATCGTCGTCATCTAGCTACACCCGCTCTTAGATTTTTTCATTTCGCACTCAATCAGGTTGTTTATAATTGTAATCAGAGGTTGCCCAGCCAATTGACTGACAATCTTATGGCATGAGTCATATTTGAAGATTTCTGTTTCCCAGAATTCGTATGAGTTTTCTGCGTATTCGAGGAATGAAAGAGCTTCGGACTCTAACTGTAACTTAATGCAAATTAAGCATTTGTGTGTTTGACATTGTTTAACACTGGGCATGAGATGCTGTAGGGAAATCTAGTTCATGTTTTGGGTCAACAACTCGTTTGGTTGTCGCTGACTTAAAACCAGTTTTAATTAAAAAAGAAACATTTATTAAACGAAATTTTATTTGGCTGGTGAAAGTGCATTCGTTTTTCAAACGTTTTTATGTTATATAAGGCGTGAACAACAACAGGCCCCAAAAATGCCTAATGAATTTCACAGAATCAATTGTAGCCTTGTAATGTTTTTTATGCGGCTTTTATTAAACTTTTAATTGAATTGTTAATGCCCTCGACTGCTGTTTAGCTCACACAAATGCTTGTAAAATGTGCAATTTCATTTAAAAATTAAAATTGTTAAGCTTTTGCTGATTAGATTAATTATTTTGAAGTTCATGTGTTAACAGCGCGCTGTTGATAACAGCCACTTCATAAAAATGTAACGGTTAAGTCTTATGTTAAGTTGCAAGGCCTGCGAAACAGTAGATTTCCGGTCGCAGTGGGATGTGGGTATGGGAAGATAAACAACGCATGTCGCTTCAACATATGCCACCAAATGGTGCAAGGCAGCGCACTGAAATGTCACATACAGACATATACTCATATTAATGCGCCGATTCCGTTTTCTTTATATTTGCAGTTGGTTTGCACAATGTCGAAAAGTCTGCGCCCTCTTAAAATAACCATCGTGGGCGATGGCATGGTGGGTAAGACCTGCCTCCTGATAACCTACACACAAAACGAATTTCCCGAGGAGTACATACCGACTGTATTCGATAATCATGCCTGCAACATAACAGTCGATGATAATGAATACAATTTAACACTATGGGACACGGCCGGTCAGGAGGATTACGAAAGGCTGCGCCCATTAAGTTATCCAAATGTGGGTATTTCTACAGCCATAATGTTTGTCTGTTCTTATCTAATCTTTTTTCGTTTGTTTTTTTTTTTTGCCACAGACGAACTGCTTCCTGTTGTGCTATTCCATCAGCAGTCGCACCTCGTTCGAGAACATCAAAAGTAAATGGTGGCCAGAAATTCGTCACTTTGGCGCCACTGTGCCTGTGGTCCTGGTGGGCACTAAGCTGGATTTGCGTATACCGAATTCAGAAAAGTTTGTAACCACACAGGAGGGCCGACGATTGCGCAAGGAGATACATGCGCATCAATTGGTCGAGTGCTCCGCGAAGAAGAAGATCAATTTGCAGCAGGTGTTCGAAGAGGCGGTGCGAGCGGTGGAGAAGAAACCAGGAAAGAAGCCGCAAACGTGCAAAATACTTTAATTAAATCCTATGCCTAATGTTAAATATTGTTATACGTAATTGTATTATGTAATTGTCTAATTCGTGAGCATTCGATTCGCCTGTTTCACAGTGTGTGTAGAAAAATGTAACGTTAAGCTCTTATTTTAAGTTGTAGTTGTCTGAAAACAATTTTCGTATGCGACCAAAGTGCATTTTTTTATGTAAAAATCAAAGCAAAAATGTAACTACAGAATTGTTTGAATAGAAATGCATGAATGGCATTTATATAAATATTTGCGCCAGAATATGCTGTGTATTATATATTTTCAATAAAAACTAGTCAATAAAATCAAAAAAGTTAGTTTTTAAATTAATTGGTAAACAAAATACATAATAAACGGTTGAATTGCGCGGTCGGAATTCGGCAATTTAGAAAAGTGCTGCCAACTCGTTGCAAAAGCGATGTAATGTATATTTTAGTATTTATATTTTTTGTATTTTCTTTTAAGCTCCTGCGGTCACACTGACATTTAGCAAACAGCGCTGAAAAATAAGAATAAAATAAACAATGAGCAGCGAAAAGGCTGAAAAAGCAAAAGTTAGCGCACAAATCAAACATGTGCCCAAGGATGCACAGGTTATTATGTCCATACTTAAGGAACTAAACATCCAGGAATACGAACCGCGCGTCGTCAACCAAATGCTCGAGTTTACATTTCGTAAGTGCCGCAGCTCCAACTCTCAACTTTGTTTTTAAATAAAAGTCAATTTGGTTTTACCACAGGGTATGTGACCTGCATACTGGATGACGCCAAGGTATATGCGAATCACGCGCGCAAGAAAACCATCGATCTGGATGATGTGCGCCTTGCCACGGAGATGACCCTAGACAAGAGCTTCACGGGGCCGCCGTCACGTCATGTCCTGGCCAAGATGGCCGAACTGCGTAATGCGATGCCACTCCCGCCCGTGAAGCCGCATTGCGGTCTGCGCTTGCCTCCTGATCGTTACTGTCTGACCGGTGTCAACTACAAGCTGCGCGCAACAAATCAACCCAAAAAAATGACCAAATCTGCGCTAGAGGGACGCGCTGTAAAAACCGTCGTGAAGCCGGTGTCCAGTGCCAATGGACCCAAACGCGCCCATTCAATTGTGTCCAAACAACAGGTTGTTACCATACCCAAACCAGTCATCAAATTCACAACCGCAACGAAAACGGTCACCGCAATGGAGGTCAAGAGCGAGCCAAACGCCAGTGACATGAAAATGGAGGTAGACAGTGATGCGGCAGCCGTGGGCAGCATTGGTGGCAATAACGTGGCTGTAAAGCGGGAACGCGAGGAGGAGGAATTTGAATTTACAGCGAACTGAGAACATATATGTCTAAACTTATGTACATTAAGCATATATTTGTATATTTAAAGGATCTGTTCGGATAATACGTTTCGGCATTTCTAAAACTTTTGTATTTTGTTCAATTTTAATGTGACTATAAATGTAGAGTTAATTAACTAACGTATATCTATATATATATACAATTGTTTGTCTTTTGGGCAAACTGACTTTTGACCAATGCTCATTCCAATACGTCAGGAATTGAATTATAAATATCTGACTAGCCGAGATATTCCAAATACGAGTACTTTTTATGATCAACAGAGGGAGCTACTAAAAAAAACTTCAGTTATTTTCAATAGTGTATACTTTTCTGTGTAACAATTTAATATTTTCTGAATTATAATTGCATACTTTTGTGCTGACAAACAAAAAACACACCATCGCTGCCAACAGCCGCTTTAACAAGTAACAAGTAACAATGTTCAAAATAATTAAGTTAGTTAAATGTTTGTTCTTGGCAAGAAAGACCAATGCGGACCTCTATATATATATATAAAGTAAATTTTAACGGACCGAAACACATTCTGCCTGTTACAAGGTATACAAATATTTTAAAATGTCTATCAAAGTTTTTATCAAGGTTTTTATTAAACAATAATTTTAATTTGTAAAAAATAAATTAAAAAATTGTGAGCTTAAAGTTTTCCCGGTATAAAAAACAGTCTATCGGCAATATGCCCGGTTCTTTCTAGGGGATGCTTTGCTTCTGAGAATGTTTGAATAGGAAAGATCATGTGAGTGGAATTCGGACTTCATTTGAGCGCTAGAATAATGGTACAGCCTAGATCCATGATTTGCAAATATTCAGAGCCACCATCCTGTAGTCGAAAGCAGCATTCCTGCAAAATATTAAGGATTAGCTAAGCTTATACACAGGGCCACTGCGTTGAACTCACTCCCAGCTTGTCGCATATGATGGCCTTCTGTTTGTCAGTTAGGGAGCCGCTGCGCACAATGAACTCCACGAACTGATCCATCATCTGGCCAACGCTGTATGCCGAGTAGCCAATTTCACGTACAAAATGCTCCAAACGCTCGTAGTTACCCGAGCGACAGACCTCAAGATAATCTTCCAGATAATGCTCCGGTATGATGCCAGACATCTCGAGCAGATCGTCTGTATTAATGGTGTGCTCGGCGCCTTTGAGGCGATAGCAGGATTGCAATGTGGTGATGGCACGTCGCATATCCCCAGCGGATATCCTTACAATGGACTTGTAAGCATCAGGATCAATGCGAACGCCTTCCAGCTCGCAGATGTGCTGCAATCGCGCAATGATCTGTGTCTCGCCCAGCGCCTTGAAGCGAAATTTGGAGCAGCGCGATGTAATGGGCACAATAATACGCGACACATAATTACATATGAGACAGAAACGCGTGCTGCGGCTCTCCTTCTCCATAGTGCGACGTAGTGCCGCTTGTGCTGCATGCGTCATGGAGTCCGCCTCGTCCAAAACAATTATCTTAAAGGGCGGACACGACCGACCATCGGGACGCACACTACTTGCCGTAAGCTGGGCAAAATTCTTGATCTTAGTGCGCACCACATTGATACCACGCTCGTCGGAGGCATTCAGTTCTAGTATGCGATCGCGGTACATGTCGCCAAAGATTTGACGTGCCGCCGCAAGAATGGTGCTAGTTTTGCCAGTACCAGGCGGGCCATAGAGGAGCATATTGGGCAAATCGGCGCCCTCGACGCATTTACGCAGCACGGCCACCACCTCCGCTTGTTCAACTACATCATCCACGCTTCTTGGGCGACTATGCGGCAAAATTAATGCAAAATTGACAACAGTTGTAATGTGCTCAAGTTTTGAATTTCACTTACTATTTTTCCACCCAGGGTGCGGGGGGTTTGCGACGTTCAACGGGCGCATTGGCTGCCTGTTTGTCTGTGTTGCTGTTGCTAGAGCTGGCTTTGCCAGTTTTTAAAAACGCCTGCATTTTGTTTAGGAAAACAATTTTAAAAGTCGCAACAAAAATTTGGCGCGAATGGAACAGCTGAGTACAATGTTAACTCAAAATGGCAATAACAGAGTTCGCAGTCATGTTAAATTGTAACAGTGCTGGCAAACGATCAAAATGAACTAGTCCTATTGAAAACCTCTCAATCAGTCAGCAAGTGTTGGCAATCGTTGTTGATGATGATGTGGAATTTACAAATTGAGTTGTTGCTTCAGTTAGTTTAAATATTTAAATAAATACGCAGTACCATGGACATAACGCAGCACTTTAAGGCCAGCGTTATGACGGTGCGACTGCAACGCAAGACTGAGCTGGCGGCCGCAAAAGCCAAAGCACAGGACAAGCAACAACGGTCGGGCGCCATCACCTCAAAGCCCACCGCTGGCAACAATGACTTTGCCAAACAGGCAAAGGATGTATGCAACAAGATAACAACGCTTCGGAATGTGCTTATCGAGAATCGCACGGCCTATATGCGCATTGGCCAGCACCTGAAGAGCGCCACCCACATGACGGATGCTGAGCGCGATTTGATTGATCGCGAATCGGAGAAATTCGTGACATACTACACACAGCATCTGGCCAAGATGCGCAGCGACTGGAAGAGCGCTAAACGAAAGCCACAGGAGCGTCAGCACATCGAAGCAGTGCTCGATTTGCTGGTCAGCTATCTGCACAGCGTGGAGCAGATCTACCTGGATCAAAAGAAATATCGCGTACAGCACGAGCTAGAGACATACAGGCTGCTCAAACTGGCGGCGGATAAGAAGAAGATACCAGTGCGTCCGGCGGGTGCCAACTGCGGTAAGCTGGTTAAGCGTCAACTGAGCAATGACAGCGTTGACAGCAACGAAGAGCTGTCGCCTGTGGAAGCAGCAGACGAGGATAACGATTGGAACAACGACAGCTGGGCTGAGTGGGATGACGAGCAGGAAGAGTCGCAGTTGGACAACAGCTCGACAACAGATAAACAGCATAAGCCGCGCACGCGCAAACGCAGCCGGCCAGCCGGGATATGTAGCGCTGACTCCTCGGCGAAAGTTGCGCTGGAAGAGGACATTCAGAAGACTGCGCAGCAGCAAGAGAATGATGGAGAGGATGTGTTAAGCGCCGAGGATATGCAGCTGTTCGAGGCTGAAAATGTGCATATATACAATCTGCTGCAGGGCGTCTCCGAGGAGGTCGAACAAATTGAAAAGAACGTTGTAGACATAGCACAGTTGCAGGACATATTTACAGAGAAGGTAAGAAGAAAGCAATCCTTAAGCTGCGCTTGGTTAACCAGATTTATTTTTATTCAACAGGTTGCTTTGCAACAACACAATATCGAGCGCATTGTGAGCGCCGTGGTGGGCACCACGGAGAACGTCAAGGATGCCAACGACCAGATACGTCAAGCGACGCAGCGCAATGCTGGTTTGCGCGTCTGGTCCTTATTCTTTTTGCTGGTCATGTCTTTCTCCTTACTATTTCTTGACTGGTACTATGATTAAAATAAAAATTGTTTCGTGTAAAAAAAAAAATAAGAAAATGTGAAAGTGAAAAACTCATGATTGTTTTTGTTATCGCACTCTAAAACATAACTTGTTTATTACGTAATTTATATTTAAAAATAAAAAGTTATAAACAATGTGGTTCGTGTAGTAGTTCTTGTTGTCACTAGCGCTATTTCGTTTTATAACTAAAGGTTACAAATTAAGTGAGCTCAGCCTTAACTAAATTTTAAATGATATCTGAGTTAATTGATTGTTTGCGTTTCAAAATTTGTTCAAATGGAACTCAGAGCCAAACATTTACCAATTGAAATTAAAATAGAATAATAATAGGCGTCTTAAAAACTAAATTAAGTAGAGTTCAATCAATGTCATCAGTTCCATTATTTAAAAATGCGTTTTGAAAGTAATTTTCCCCATGGCAGAGTGTCTGATTCAATTCTTCAGGCAAATAGTTAGGTTGTCTGTAACCAAGACTTGTCTTAAATTAATATAATATTTAGAACTGTGCCGCATGTTAGTTTTATCTAGTTTGCACCTGAAATGAGGTTCCATAATAAAAAGTATATGCAAACCTTTTGTTCACAATTTGTTTTTGCAGTACTTCGTCGTACCCATATATAACATTCATTCAATGAATATCCCCCATTTGTTGATATTAGATCTAGGCTTAAGTGTAACTAAGTATTTTTTGTGTGTGGTGTCTTACAACTAGTTGTGTGCATTCAATGCAGTCTGCAACAGTTTTTCCTGTTGTGCTGGGTTTTCTCTCTCTGTGTGTATTTAAAAATGGAAGCCATCGCTAGACATAGCAATAGTAATAGGAAGGTTCCGTTCCTGGTTCCTGATAAACCAAATAATAAAGCTGCGACAATCGTTATGGCGTATCCACAATCATATCCAACGATGGCGCTACACTGCTCTCCACCAACTCCACAGAGCCGGGACAATCCTCGATGCTGCCGCCGTTACCATTGCAATTGCTAAGCGGCGTCAATGGCAGCGATTCCTCGGTAGTTGCTGGCGTTGAAGGATTCTCAAATTTGCTGCTCACGCTGCTGGGCATCTTATCGTTTAGGAATACGCCCAGCGGCAGGTGGGTATTTATATGTGCTGCACATGAAAGCAAATTCAATTAATTAATGTTATTTTCTTTTTACTATTGTGACTAAAAATCTACTTAAAGTCTAAAGCTGGTGCAGGTGTTATGCATATCATCAGGCAATCAAGCTTAAATATTAAATAACTAATAATATATCTTTAAAAGATTAAAACTAATTAGAACTAGCCACTACATTTGGTGACTACTTAGTATAGGTTTTATACTACTAGGCACAGGCCTAGTAGCTTTTGGCTAAAACTTTACCACGATGGTTCGAAAAATGTAGAAACGTGCGTGGACAGTAGTCGCATTTGTAAAATAATTCACTGTTGTGGGTGCGCCGATGTTTGCGCAAATCTTTGATATAGGCGAATGCCTCGCCGCATTCGTCGCACTCGAAGCCGCTTTCTGTAAGAAAATCAATTGGGTGTTCGTTTTGTAGCTAAGGGGCAGTTAGATTTGTAACATGTAGTCAACAGCGTGAGTTGACAAAGTGGTTGGTACAGTGCTGTGTCTGGAGAGTCTTTAAAACACATTTGGAGACATTTGTTACCACAAAATTGTTTAACAGCGATTTAACATATGTTCTAACGTTGCTAACAGCCAGTTAACAGCAAGTGCAGTGAATCCAAAAGGAATTCAGTTCGAAAGAGTGTATATTGGTTTTCGATTGGATATTCTATGGTTCCAGGTAGGGATAACAACACGAATATTTTTAATCACACTGTTTTTTTCAAAGTTTTCAAAGTTTACTAACAGTCAGTTAACTGTGAGTGCAGCGTTTCCAAAGGAGGTGTGCAACCTGGTTTTAGATATGTGAATATATTTGGGATCAAAACAGCTGAAAAAAATAGGTTCCGAACGCTAACGTCAAAACAATCTGACACATGAACACTAACTACGGGAATAATTCTTTTTAAAAACTACAATTATAGTGTGTTCCTCTCTCATTAGATTTGTCTCTAAGTACTATTATTAATTTCAGTTTGTTTATATACACAAAGCCCACTAATAATAATCAAAATACAAACAAAATATATTTGCATACAATACTTAATACTTGGTACTACTCGATTATCATATTATAGTACATGTACCTCATTTATGCTAATACCCAACTCAACGTGATCGTTAATTTATATTGATTGACAGTGTAAATTAAAGCGATTTACCTCGCGTTGATTTACGATTCTTAGTTCTCTAATAACCTTTAGTAAGAAATACATTATTAAAATGTTCTGATTCTAAAACTATATTATCTAATATAGGATGCAATTAAAGCAGTATTTGGGTTACTTTTAAGCAAAATTTCTATCAAGCTGTGCTATGCGTGAACTGCTCGAATTTGGCACCAAAATGCCTGAGAAAAAGTTAGCTATCTGCTGTTATCGCACTTGAATAAAAGAAAGAATTCGTTAAAAAATTGTTACTATTATTATCGAATCTCAAAATTAATTTTTAGCCATATCCAAGTTGGTTTTAAATTTAAAATTATTTTTATTTTTATTAATATATTATTATTAACTATTAAGTTCTAAAAGCTTTAGAGCAAAGCGTTTACGAATGAGACGCAAAGAAGAATTGAATAATCATATGCGCTCAAGAGCGTAAGAATAAAACTCACATATGTTTATTTTATAGAGAGTTACAAAGGCAGCAACAAAATTATAGACTAGGATGATTACGATAACAACTATATATTACAGTCGCTTTGCATGGCATTCACAATAGATAAATGTATCATTGAGTTCATATTTCCTTTTTACCTTTCGAGGAAACAATCACGGCAGTGAAAACTGTTAGCACAAAAAAAGGTTGAAGGTGTGTTTTTTGGGTTAAGATTAGTAAACAAAATTACGAGCTATTGGTTCTATTAATACTACAATTTTAATAAAATCTATGTATATGTAACTAAGTATGAATATGTATATGTATATGTATATATGAATGTGTCTATAATGTATATGTACTTTATAGTAAAGCTTAGCTAGCATCCAACCGGCACCCGGTTAGCCACCGCATCCGCATGCGTGCGAGCACCCAAAAACTTACCACCGTGAAACTTAATGTGCGTCTTCAAGGCGCTCTCCGTACCAAATTGTTTACCACACTCATCGCAGGTATGCGGCTTGATCAGCTCATGGACGGTGAACTTGTGCATTGCCAGCTGTTTGAATTCCGGAAAACGTACCCAGCACTCATTGCACTCGTACGGACGACCCTTGGGCTCATGTGATTTCATATGATTATCCATGTCGGTGCGTTTCCGATAGCCACGCTTACAAATGCCGCACACCCAGGGCATGGATGTCTGCGAATCATGGGCCAGCTGCTGGTGCTTGCGAAGCGCTATGATATTGGTGAAACGCTTCTCGCAGATCACGCACTGATGGCTGCTGCTCAGTTTGCCCAGCTGCAGCGTTACGCTCGTCTCCATGGTCGACGAGGACGGCGACGAGGAGGGCGACGGCGATGCGGCTGTTGTTAGCATTGTTGCTGCTGCAGCTGCTGCCGTTGGTGCTGCGACTGGTGTTGTTGTTCCTGTCGTGCTGTTGGCCACGCAGCGCTTGCGAAACTGCCGCAAGGTTGCCGTCGTCGAGTCCGGCTCCGATTGCTCCGGCGAGGGCAACGTTATGTGCGGCGTTGGCTGCGGCGACGGCAATGATGCAATTGTCGACGGCGGCGTCAGCACCGTCGGCGGTGGCTGCAGATTGGTCAGCTCCTCGTATGTCGACTGACCGCTGCCATGACTGTGTCCACTTGAGCCTGGAAACGAATTTAAAAATTAATACGTAAGTTAAGGGTAAACACTATAAGCTCATTGATTTTAAAAAGCAATTTTGATACTTACAGTCCTCGCAGTCCGGGCAGCATAGTATGCGCGTCCTGCGTGGCTGTGGCGGGCTTGTTTCAAGATCCAAAGCTACGCATGCGCAGGCAAATACAGTGATAAGAGAGGACAAACAAAGAGAGGAGGAGAGAGAAAGAGGCATAGAGCATAAGCATTAGTAATAGCTAATGGAGCTGGGTAATAACTAATTACTTTAACAAACATAAAGCGACAGTTTAATAAATTAACTTACTAACTAAACAACAGTATAAGACAAAGTTTCTTCTAACAGAACGCACTTGCTCTTCATAAAAAAAAATAATATTAATATCTAACAATTATCTAATGTATACAAAATTGAAACTAATTCGTAGCAGGGAGTACAATATACTCTACACAAATATTTAACTAGTTTATAACAAGAATGTTATTTAAATTAGTTTATTTAAGAAAGTAAAAAAAGTTGTGAAGTTAATGAAATCAAAAGCTCAACAAAAAGACTCAAAGTTTATTTTAACTAATTTATCTAATGCAAAAAAATAGTTCAAAATAATATAACTAATTCGGTTTGTTTTCGATTCTAAGGAACTACCTTTAGAGAAATAATGAGGCTCTAGTTTAGTTTACTGGTGGGACTGGTGACTTTTATGAACCAAAACTAAAACTAGTTCACACATCAATATGATGCCATCGGTTAAATTAAAGGACAACACTTTTTACTGTTGGACTAGCTCAAAAGAATTCGTACTTAAGGAACTAGTTTTAAAGGAACATAAAAAAATAATTACAACCTTAAGCGCACTGAGTCCAAATTTATTCCAAAAACCAGAAGCACTAGTTCAGCTCATTTTCAATTAATTAGATTTAGAACTGACACACTTATAAAAGGGAACGTCACTTGTTTTTTGTTTTTGCAGTTAGTTTTATCAATTAACTAGAACAAAATTTATAACTAATTAAACATAAAAGCACTAGTTCATTTGTCGTTTAATTGATGTGAACTAGATATAGCTAGCACTAGTTTGTCTTGCAGCTTGTTTCATTAAACTTAAACTAACTTAACCAAAAAAAAATAATCAACACGCATTTGGGTTTGGATTAATAGCCATAAAAACAGTTTACTCTGAGTTCAACTTGGTTTATTTCAGTACTCACCAGGCATATGCGGCGACCTATGCTGTTGCTGCAGTTTTGGGAGCTCTCTCTTGTTGGCTATTTGCAGTTGAACCTCGTCTAGGCGAACGGCGCCAGCAGCTGGATTTTCGGACGGGGCCGATTCCGTTGGCAGCGGCATGTGAAAACGTTGCAGATGCAAATCCAGAGCACGCTGCGAGGGTAACATCAGTGAGCATTGGCCACAGTGGAACTGCTGCACCATGTGGTGGTTGAGGATGTGCTGGCTGCGCTTGCTGCGACCGGCAAAGGCCAGCGGGCAGTGGGGACAATTAAAGGGCGCCACGGCCGGATGCAGCTCAATGATGTGACGACTATACTCCAGGCTGCTGGAGAAACGCGGTCCATTCTGACAGAAGCGGCACTTGAGCAACGGCGGTCGGCCGCGGGTGGGCGGCGGTACGGCAGCAGCCAAGCCTAATACTGTATTTTGTACTTGTTGTTGTGACTGTGAGTGAGGTTTTTGTTGTTGTGGCTTTTGTTGTGTACGTTCCTGCTGCTGCTGTTGTTGCTGCTGGTGCCGCTGCTGGTGCTGCTGCTGGTGCTGCTGCTGCAACTGCTGTTGGGGATAGGTGTGCAGCTCATTGGACAGGCTGGTGCCGTATGTTATATGCAGCGGCGCCTGTTGCGGATTGCTGGCGGATGCCACCGGCTGCTGCAGTTCTGGCTGCTGCAGCTCTGACTGCTGTATGAGTATCATAATGGGCTGCTGCTGCTGTTGTTGCTGCTCCTCCAGCACGTAGTTCTCATTGCTATCGAGCAGTGCATAGCTATCGCCCGTCAGGTGAGCTGGTTGCTGCTGCAGCTGCGTCTGGTAGAGATCGCTGGCATTGATGTAGTAGGTGGTTGTGCCGCTGCCATCTAGACTATCCAGGCCGGCAACAGGTGTTGTCTTGATGGCCTCCAGCCCGCCCACAGTCGACCATTGCAGTTGTGTGGTTGTCGTCTGCTGTGCGGTTGTTGCCTGTGCCTGCCACAGCGTCTCCTGCGGCTGCATTTGGATGAGCTGCAACTTATTGCCATTCACTGGAGCTTGGGCGGTAAGCGGTGCCTGATACACTGCCTCATAGCTGACAGCTTCCTGCTGTACCTGCTGTACCTGCAACTGTTGCTGTTGTTGCAGCGGCAGCGGCTGCAGCTGCTGTTGCTGCTGCAGTTGCTGCTGTGCTAATTGCTGCTGTTGTAACTGCTGCTGGGCCGGCTGAAGCTCATTGAGCAACTGCGTCAGCTCCAGCTGCAGGCTCTGCTGCGCTGCCATCGACTCAGGCGTTGCCTCAATGTTCTCAAAGCAGGGCATATCATTTTGGAAGCCGATCAGCTCATTGCTAAAGTTGCTGCTATCAAACAGATTCCCCTCCTTCACCTGTTGCTGCTGCTGTGGCGGCACCTGCCCCTGAGGTGTCTCAGCTGGCGACGCGTATAGCTCTGGTGCCGTTGGCGTGGCCTCTGGCGTTTCCGTCTCGTTGAGCGGCACATAATCGGCAGGCGTTAGAAATTCATCAATCTGCGTACAGACGGGCGTATAGAGATGCTGGTCCTGCATCTCATTCAGTATGCCATGCAGGGTGGTCTCCACATCGTTCATTTCCACCTCCAGCTGCTGTTTGGCCTCCACCAGTTCTAGTTCCGTTTCCAGTGGCGGTTCCTTCGCCTGCAGCTTGAGCGTCTTCTCACAGTGCTTCTCGAATTCGGCTAAGAAATCCATGGAGCTGGCATTCACAGTACGGAGCGGCTGCACTTCCGCAACCGGTGCATGCGGCTGCATATCAGCTAATCGTTCCAGGGACTCCATGTCGTCATCGAGTGGCACAATTGCCTTCCCTCCATTTGGTTCTGCTTCAATTTGTTTGGATGTGAGTGCCACAGCAGCATTGAAGCTATCTGCTGTAGCACTCTGGCAAAAATTCTCACCATTCTCATTGTTATTCACATCGTCCGCCTCCGCGATCTCCTTGGGCTCGGCATCTTGAGCTTCCTCTTCCTCAGCCTGTGCGATTGGATCGCTGCTGCATAGTTTTCGCTGCAACTCGTCGCCGAGCACATCTAACGGTATGCTAACTATAAGCTCCGACGCTGGCTCCTCCGCCTGCTGCACGGGCCCTGCATTGGCCTGCTCTTCTTGGGGCGGCTGCTCTGCGTGCTGCTGCTCATTATTTGCAATGCCCAGCTCTATTTCGCATTCGGAAGCTGGCGCTTCGACAGGCGACAGGCATTGACTGCCCTGGATTGTGGGGCTGTGCTCCATGGTGGATGAAGTGAGCTCTTCAGATTGAACTGTGGAATCAGCTGTTTCTGCAGTTCCATTGTGTGTGTATAAAGGGCTGGTTACATCTACGGCCATATGTTCCTCTGTCTCGTTTACTTTCTTTGATATGCTTTGCATTGGTTCTGTTGGCCTTTTGACCTGAGTTTGATTGTTTACATTTTCTGCAGGGTGTTCAGTTGCGTCGGGCGACTGCAGCTGCTCTGGCGCCGCGTGCTCCAGCTGTTCCATGGACTTACTTGTTGCTACTGTGGACTTCTCCTTGCCGCTCTCAGCGGCTCTGGTCGCATCTGCGGCTGTTTCACTTGGTTTTTCTCGCTCATCTGTTGTCATGTGCGCCAGATCCTCGGAGGTGGTTTCTGATTGTACAGCCTGACTGTAGCACGGCGTCTCTTCCGAGGAGCTGCTGGCCAGCTTCTCCTCTGCCCCGGCTGCGAGTATCTCATCAGACTGTTGCTCTTTTGATTGACTGGTCGACTGCTCCATCTTCTGCTTGGACAAATGATTCTCTGCAGTTGCCTGCTTCTTCTTTTTCTTTGCAATGCGCTTCGCTCGCTTCAGCGGCACACAGCTACGCCCACGTCGTCCTCGTCGCAGCACCACGAGCTGTTTTTTGGGCGTCTCGCGCTTTGGTGGAAACTGAAGCTGGGCAATCGGCTGAGGCGTCGTTGCGTTCTGGGTGGCGGGAATAGCTACTGATGAAATGGAGGAGGGGGGCGACCAACCTTGGCAGTCGCTTTCGAAGCCGTGACATGGATTCACGGACAAATCGCTGAGCTGCTCGGGTGACGTTTGACCTGCGCTTGTTTCGGTCTCCGGGTCGGAACTCTTCGCCCGCGACGGTGTCGCCAACTGTGCCTTTGTCAGCTCCTCTGACGTTATGGATGCTGCCCGGCAGTGGGAGACCGTCGAACAGCTGGACCACGTTTCTGAGAGCTGTTTGCGTGCCGCCTTCGTTTTCCAGGGCATGTGCATTTTTTTGCATAGCATTCTCAGTGGCGTCCGCTCCTTTAATTCGCCCTGCTGTGACGCACTTCGCGTCGGTTGTTCAGTCTCAATCTGGTTGGCTGGCAAGGAGGCAATGCGCATGTTGCGCAATCTAAGCTGCAGGCGTCGCAGCTTGGGCGGCGTCGGCACGCGTTCGGCTTCAGTTTTGGCTTGTTTCGGCTGCGATTCCAACTGTGCCGCCTCCTTACTAAGCACCAGGCGACGCTTGCGCTCAATTTGTGACTCGGGCAGATGCAGATAATACTCTTCAGATGGCTCATTTTGCTGTGGTTGCTCCTCTTGCTTGGCGGCCAGACATTTCTTGCGCTGGGCTATCTCCTTGGCATACTCCTCTAGCCGCTGCTGTACACGCAAGCAGCGCCGCCGGAACTTGGCAACCATTATGAACTGTGCCTTGCACTGCCGACAGATCTCCTGGGGCAGGCCATCATCGCGTGAGATCTGCAAAAGAAGAAAACATTTTAGCACAACCAAAATATTTCATATAAACTATATAAACAGATCTATGTTAAGTGGTGGCACAAGTGTTCCTGCCTCTGCTAATGTTAATATAACAGTACGCTCAATTAACAGTTAAGCCAAATATCTTTTATAACAGAATGTATTTCAAAGAATATATTAGGCAGTAGCCAATTAGTCACAGCTATTTACAAAATACCACACATGACCATTAAAAGTATTTGGATCGCGGTTAATGTTATGTTTATATACCAGTTGTTTTTTTTTACTGTAAACTATCTTGTTCTTCCATTGGTTTTTTATCATTTTTGTTAAGCAGTCACTATTAATGTAAATTTAAGAGCGTAATATTCACAGTTGCCATGCTTAAAAACTTGCTAATGTAACCATAAGAGAGTTTCTTTTCACGCTTTAAACGCAACATAATAAATATCAAGCTATCAATTGACTTAAATTAATATGTAAGCTCTGTGTTTTTTGTATATTTTAACTAGGTAACAAGCTATCAGCCATTCGACAAAGTAACAAATAACCGCTTGCCATTTATTTTGAGCCTTTTAATATTATAAATGTTAAGTTATCGCTGTTAATGATAATGTAAAACCGGACAATTTACAATGAGATTGTTATTGAATATTGGAAACTTTTGTATCATACTCCCAGCCATTATTCAACTTCTGTTTTGACTCAATCGCATTTCAACTGTTTATCTTTCACTTTTCTTTGTAGCTACATTTTTGATCAACTTAAAATGCTTATGCATTAATTTAGTGACATTGAATATGTGTAAAGGGCATTGTAAATTACTTTTTGGAAAGTAAGCGATATTAAATGATAAGCTATTGTCTCTGCTCAGCATAAATAAATATTTTATGGCCGGTTAAGCAGACAAAGCGGCGGGCGACGATGTTCGCCTGGGCTGGCCAGCCAAGTGGCAAAATTTGCAGCCACTTGTCGCCGCCTCATTTTGTTATTTGGAGCAAATGATTTGTCTTTGTTATCCAATTGAACGATTTCATTAGAGTAGAGTAACAACAACTACAATAATAGTAAAATGAGCCAAACTTGTACAAACCTAAAATAAATACGACTGAAAATAAATGGTCATCGGCTAATATCGAAGTAATTATCCAATTAACAAATGTTGATCTTGTTTTACTAGAATTCAGATTAATTGAAGAACTCTGAACAAGAAATAGGTTTTAAAAATGTTCGTATAATCTTCATGGCATGCTCTGATACATTTAATGTATCTAGCGTTAAGCTTTACAGTTGCATGTACTCGTGAGTTGCACTTTCTTCTTTATGTCACATCCGTAAACGTTTCAAAAGCAACAAGACATTCATATTAACCTACTTTCAACAGCAGTTATTTTATCTTTTATGGATAGCGAGATGCGAGTAATTCAGATGCATTACGAAGGCATATCGAACCTACCGAAGTTTTTGTACTACCTTGCAACATGTGTTGTATGTTGGAACACGTGCCTCAAAATCTGTCAAAAGAAATTAAAAATTCGAGGACAGACCTTATCTTTGACACTGCTAACGGCTGTTAGTTCAAGATCTTGTCATTGATTGATAAACACTTGTTGTGATGCCCCTAGATGCGTCACGCGGGCAGTCACAGGGTCTACGTAAGAGGAAGACAAGAGTCAGTTCAGATCGGTGAGTTTTGATTGGAGTTAACTTAAAAATGCAAAAAATGGAAAAAGAAGAAGACGCGGCAGCAGAGAATGCGAGGCCAGAGAAAAACGCGTAACGAAAATGATTTGGAAAGGCGAGCAACGTGATTTGGATACAGATAAGGGCATATGAATTGTATTGACGTTACCCCAAGTATAAACCATATGGTAATTGACCACAAGTCCCCAAATTGGCATAAAATTCAACACACAACAACAATAACAAGAACTATACAATTGTGTTCGAAATTTATGCAGAGGTGGACAATAAAAGAGACGGAAACTCAGCATTTCGAATGCATGAAAATCGCCGACTCTGCATAGCCAATGAGTCCCCGAGAGTGCCAAACAGAGATGGAGATACAAATATATATACGAGACGGCGTTGACGGAGAGGAAGTGCTAGAGACGTTGTCAAGTGTAAATTACAGCAAATCTAAAGACAAAGAAACGAAGAAATACAAAAATAAAGTGAAATAAAAAACAAAAGCAAATTAAATAACGGCCGATTAAAGACGAACGACTGCCCCCAGCTAAATAAAAATAGATGCACAAAGAGTATGCACCGAATGCTCTTTAAAATGCATCTAATGAAAATAACAATTGAACGTACTTAAAAAATAAGACAACGAATCATTTGAATTGAGATATTACGCATCAAAGTGTACACTGTACGAAAATTAGATGGATATCTCCTCTGATCTCTTTCCTTTAATTATGCGCACAAAAGGTATAATGGAGTTGAGCAAAGGTGTGCAACAGTTAAAAGAGGGCATCTTCAATACCAATAGATATAAATATTCTTGAACAGAGAGACAAGCAGGCGATGCGCTTGTCTGCATAGGCGCATCGATCTTAGAGAGCTAGGCATATCGCGTGTATTCTCATGTAACCATTGGAGAGATCATATCATTGATGTCTAAATATATATCAATCAAATATCAAACAAAGCCTGAGGACCCAACCAGGCTTGGCGAAACATCACCTAAGCCAACTGTGTTGTAATAAAAATGTATGATATTTTTTAATTCAAAACAATAAACGTTAAAAAAAAAAATGGCAAAGCCTCACTTTATTAATGCTAATAACTTAATCTCAGAAAAAGTCTACATAGGTGGCTATCACCTAGTCGAGCTTTTCAGCCTTTTTAACAAATATATTTTACCTTATATGGTATATATGTATGTAAATCTCTCCAGTGATTGATCAACGTTTTTACGGCATGTTAAATAGCCGTATTTACCGAGAAGGCCATACAGATCTTCCATTTGTCAATATTGTGTGTACTCATCAGTTAAGCAATCGAGCAAAAAAGGTACAAAATTTGTCACACGAAAGGGGGAAATTTGTCATACGAGATATTTTTATTTCATATATAATACACATCGACAATAACGGAAAAATATCAAGCAAAGTGCTTGATAATAATATATGTAAATTTCAGCAAATAATTAATCGGCTATACGTGCGAGGTTTATCTACATATATAAAAATGTAAATCAATTATAAGCCAAATCTCAAGATCAGTGAATAGAAATGTGGGTAATGTTAGATATGAATCGGACTAAACTTGCAAATGAATTGAAAGTCAGCATTGAATGATAAACAAATCATGAGTGTGTTAAGAAATTTCGCATATTATAAGCCAAACTTAACGATTGCTAAAAAATTATAAAACAAAACAAATGGTGAAGAGAAAACATATTAAATATGAATCGGAAATAAAATAAACCAAACATAAAAAAATAATGATAAACAAGCTTAAATTTGAATATATGTAAATGGTATTTATAAACTTAAATTAAAGACCACTAAATTTGGGCAGCTTAAATTTGGTTAATAGATTTGGTTTGACGTTTCTGAATCAGATTGAAAGTTCAGAAAATTTCTTTCCTTTTAACTCTTAAAATATTTTAATTTTTTGCTACATTGGAAATTAAAACGTTTCCAATTGTGAAACTCTGGAATTTTGTCGAATCTTAAGTACAAAACTGCATAAACAAATTCTAAATACGTTTAAATTGTTGAGAATGTATAAGTTAATTACTGAACTACTTGCAAGCTTTCTAAGTTCATCTAAAGTTTGATTTAATGCGGTAAACATGCTTTAACTATTCCACACAAAGTCATATTAAAAACGCATGTTCAAAAGCCGCGTTAAATAGTCAAATAATAATTACAAAGTCTAAGCTCCATGTAAATATTTAGCATAACAGGTTTCTATTCAATAGGACTAACAAGACGATTAATACAATAATAGCTGAGAGAAAACACGTGCTTGGCAAAAGGCTTTTTTCCTCGTCTTTCTCGCTTTAAAGATTCCACAGGTTTTTCGAGTTACACGCGAAATGTGTTAAAATTTCTTTGGAAAACCTGCGCAGAGAAAATTGCATGCAATGAAAAACAATTTACAGCTTAAACACAATATGATATTGGCCGCCGGCGAGTTGGACAAAAAATTAATAACTGAAACACAGCAATTGGCCATAAATTTAAAAGTCTAGGGTGGACTGCAGAAAGAAAGAGATGAAGCTAGTCGCTGCATAACGGTAGCAAATGGCGATGTATACAGATAATAAATCGCATATACGCAAACATAAATTTACATTTTTGATGATAATTCTCCCAGAACCCCCCGGCGGCAAATTAAAGTGGAACCATAAGTCAAGTCGGCCGAAGAAGTGGGTCTCGAGCCGAGTGCTGCGTGAAAAATATCGCATTCTTGGCGCGGGGTTGACAATGCCAATGTTTAACTAATTAGCTGGGGGTTGTTTCGTTTTTCAACATTGCGCTGGAGGTGTACATTTTAGACAATTCATTTGCAGTCCAAGTTGTGACTCTAATGCTGCCATAAAAAAGCCACAGCAGTCAGCGCCAAGCATCAAATTGTAATCAAATTGCACGCGTCTAAAAAACCACCCATAGAACACGTAGAGAGATGAGAGACGAGCTGGAGAGAGACAGCGCCACTTAATAAATCATAGCTCATTGACGCGAGGGAGGGAAGAGAGTGTGGTGGGCGGGCAAATTAGACAGTTTACTGCACACAATGCCCCAAAACTCATTCGGCTGCCCCCGCTCAAATCCAATTCTGCAAGGGCAACGTTGAGTGGTTAGCTCTTTGCCAGCCAACCAAAGCCCACGGTGAGAGTGGCACACAGATAAGGAGAGAGAGAGAGACAAAGAGAGAGAGAGAGACAGAGAGCAAGAAAGATGTTTGGGAATTTGTTCGTTTACGCTTCGGAATTCAGTTCGGATTCGGATTGGGATTCGCAACGCCTTTTCGCAGTTAATGAA